AGAAAAAAAAAACCCCTCCAAAAAAAAAAAAAAAAAAAGAAAGTCCTGCACTTGAGCCTGTCCTGTGTTATTAAGTAATGTGCTCTTCACTAAGTGACTTAATATCTTTGAACCTCTGGTTCTACATCTGTAAACTGTAAATGATAATACTTCTATTGTCATGTTATTCTGAAAGTTAAATGAGATCACTTCATTTTTACTTATTTATTTTTTTGAGAGGTTTTTGCTATAGGGCGCATTTGCTCGCCAGACAGACAGAGAGAGACATAGAGACAGAAAGTGAGAAATCACCCCCCAGGGGAGATGGTCACACCGCAATCCCTTCTCCTCCATTCTCCTCTCAGGATCTTGGGCACTCACGCACATGCGCCTGGCGTGAGTGGCGTGAGTTTTAAGCCACCGGGTCTGGGACGCGAACTGTGGTCAATTACGTGGGAGTCCAGCGACATAGCCATTACGCTAACTGCTGGTCCTATGAGATCGCTTCTTTACAATACTCAGCTCAGCATAGGTGCCCATAAACAGCAGCTAGGAATGATGCTACTATTTTTGTTGTAATCCGTACAACTGATACATTCCAGACAAATGCTCAGAACAAGTAAGCGATTAAGAATTACACACCCTGTATTTTATTTTCTCAGTAGCAATTACCTACCTATTAAATTCTTTACCCCCCCAACCAAAAGTGTATTGTGAATCAAAGTTCTAAGGTTTTCAATGAACAAACAACACTAATCTCATCCACTACCAATATGCCATCCATGGTCGTATCAGGTTATACTTTAAAATGGATAGAAGATCAACTAATACAAAAGCGGGTCTCATATCTAGTAATGGCAAGGCCATTTTCATGAAATATAAGTAAGCCAGACAAAAACTTTAGAAAAATGCTAAATTTAAATAGAAGATACTTAATTTAGGGACAGAAAAAGTAGCTAAAAATTTCACTGGTATAAAACACACAGGCATGTTTTCCATGATCAGAAAAAATCCCTGGGACATGCAATAATTTATACTCTGAACTTAAAACTGGCATATCCAAAGGAGTGGGTTATTCCAGAAAGAATAACACTGTGGGATAACACATGAGGATACGAATTTCTATTTATTTTCAGTAAAGATAATTAAGGAGATATTCATAATTTAAGGAATGATTTTAAGGTCTTAAAATGAAAGTAGATAATGCATTCATATATGCATGATAATGCATATTAGTAAGAGATTCTGGATCCTATAAAGTACACTTTTTAAATTTCATTACAGATTGAAAAGGTATTTCCAAATGATGTCATTTTATCTTTTAGAAGCTCTTTATAACCAGTCAACTTGATTTGAACATATATTCCAGAGCCCCATCTCCATACAAGGAGGAGATTTTGCAAGGTGCCGATGAAAGTATGTCCAAAATGCATATGACATAGACATAGATTTTTTTTTTGGTCTTACTTATTTTTAATTTGATCAGAGAGGGACAGAGTGAGAGCAAGAGAGAGAGAGAGAGGGAAAGTGAGAAAGCAAGCGGTTAGGTCCAGGATTTGAACCGTGGTCAGCTATGTGGGAGTCCAGTGTCCTTAACCACTATGCCACCTGCCGGTTATATGACATAGTTTTTATATTCAAGAAACCTGGTTGAGATTAAGTATGAGGGGCTAGAGGGTGATAGAGAAGTAACATGACTCTGCGAGTCTAACCCGATAGAAAGGTTCTAGGTGTGTATCTGAATACCTCCCTGAACACAACAGACATGTATATGCTCATGATCTGGGGCTAGTGAGTTCCATGTGCCCATGAAGTTTGGGGTGGCTTGCCACATCAAGATCTTCTTTT